GGATTTCATCACTTTGCTCCCCTTGCTGCTCTGTTGCATGCCTTTAGTGTTTTGCCCCATTGTGATGGTGTCTGATTGTGCATAATTCCTGCACTGTGTCTCTAGTATTGTCCCCCGCAGCACTATGGTTTAGTGAGGGATGGAGTGTCTCGTGGTAGGGCCGGCCCTGTGGTCCTCTCTGTGCGTTGTCTGTTCTGAGCATGAATATCGTCCTTGGGACTTGGTGTCAGCACATTTTAGATGCAGTTTCTGCATCTAAAATTAGGTGCCTTGGCTGATATTTGAGTCGACTTATACTCGAGTGTATATGGTGCCAGCTAATGATTTAGCACAGTTGTTCAGCTGTGAATCTTACATCTTGGAGTAATTTTAATTTTTTCATATTTATGGTGTATTTTTATTAGTAATTTAGTTCTTGTTATCATTGATGAGAATATACATAGCACTAGATTCAAAATTTCTTCATGTCCAATTCAGTGACATTTATTACATTCTTTAAGTTATATAGTGTTCCCTACCCTCCTTTCCAAAAATTTCCTCCTCAATTAATATAAACTCACTGTCTCCTAACTTTCTGATATTTTGGATTACTGTTGTGAATTTGATCTCAAAACTCACCTGCCATTACCATTGATCTCCATATCAACCCTGTAAGACAGACTAGAACTGCCCTTGTGGGTTTCTGAGACTGCAAATATTTCTAGACGTAGAAAGCCTTATCTTTCTCCCACAGAGCACTTGGTGGTTTAAAACTGCTGACCTTGTAGTTGGCAGCCCAACTCATAGCCCACGAAATCACCAGGGTTCCTGATCCTGTATGGAAGTTCATACATTACTGTTTAGTTCTAAGAAGACTTCAAGGGGTATTTTTGGTTTAAAGATGATCTCAGGATAATCGCTTTAGGGGTTCAGTCATTCTTTGTGGCTCCAGAGAATTTGAAATTTTGTTCTGCGTTTTCTTTCTATCAGGATTCTTGATCTACACAATTTTTATCAAAATGTTCCGTAATAGTAACCAGGCATCAGAATTGCATGTAGAAGCAATTACCTACTCATTGGGATGTGTTTTGAGCTCCTCAAATACTGGTTGTTTTTTGAATCTCTTAAGTTTAGTGAGTAATTTGAAATGCATTTCTTTCTCTTTAGTTGCTTCATAGGAAAGGGTACAGTATTAGAAATTTTTGAGTCATATAATAAACTGTACAAAAAAGAGAATTTTCCTTCGGGCGTTAGGACTTATGAGGAGGAATATTAGTTACGTAAATGTATAATTGTATTGCCACCTAGGTTCAATGTGTTAGGAATGATTTGTGTGATCGAAACCTGAAAAATAGAATAAAACCCCAACTTGCAATGGCTGCACACTGCATTACTATTTCTCAGAAAGGTTATTTTCTCATTGAAGGGAAAATGTTTTAAATCTGATATCATCCTTACTCTATAGCTCTGTGTAAATGCTGTTGTTTCATATCTTTTGTAGGACATTTTAATTAACTGTCGACGTGCTGCCACATCTGTAGCTATTTGTCCACCAATACCATATTATCTTGCTGTGGGTTGTTCTGATAGCTCAGTACGAATATATGATCGGCGAATGCTGGGCACAAGAGCTACTGGTAAGACAATAGAATAGTCTTAACCGTTGGAAAAAAAATCTTTGCAAAGTATTTACCGTTTCAAAATACCTATTTTGTCATACAATTCAGAACATATATTGCACTTAAATACTATGGATTATTATGAAAATAGCATTTCATGAAGTTTTTATGACCCTATGGGGAGAAAATTTGAAATTTATTGCTATAAAAATTATGGGTTTTGACTTTTATAATGTTTGTCATTTTTCACTCAGGAGGATAAAGGTAAGTGTGATGGAGAGAAAAGTTAGAAAAACAATAGAAACATGGCCATGGGTCGATGCATAGCATCTGTCCATGTATACAGGGCTTACTTTGTAATGCTACTGCTGTCCTGAGTTAGAATCACCTATTAAACCATCTGCTTCTTCCTGATCCATTGTCAGAGCAAACCACTTTGGAAATAACCAACTAAAGACAAGTAATACTGACCTCATTAGTATATATAGCATTACAGACACTTATATTACATTATAATATATGTACGTAATATTATTAAAAATAAAAGTAGACGTGGCCAGAAATTAGCAATTTTAGTAAAAGGGGCAATAAATTGTTGGAATGGGAAGACCATGTGGGATCTTTCTGAACTGTTATTTTTGTTCAGTTATATATATTCAAGGAACATAGTAGTAATGGGATAGATTTATGCATAATTGTAGTTTTCCGTTGCTGGG